GCGCATGTTTCCTGTGAGCAGCGTTCGGCGTTTTGAACGGACGCGAGGGATAGCGCGATAACTGATGCTGGAAGTGCCTATGCTGCTGTTGGGCTACAGAAATGTAGCGGCAGGTGCTGTGGGTAATCAGGACAGGTTCCGCTTGACACTTATTGACAGAATCGTCAATCTATGACAGAAGTATTTGTCAGATACCCAGTGACCATGATTGACTGTCTCTTTGCATAGATGCTCATCAAACTTGATGTCCACTGTGGTATGACTAAGTCAGTGCCCTCAGCATCCTCAGATCCTGCAGGAATAGAAATGACACAGAGGAATCGACTGCTCCACTGGCCATTCTACCTTCCGAAGTTCACTTCGATCAAAATGGGGGAGTTGGCATGGTTGAATGAACAAAGAAGCAAAATTTTCGGCACCGCAATAGACTGAGACAGCTTTTGACAAAAAAGAATGAGTTTCAGGAAGGTAGAAGAATCAAGAAAATATCGGTCGAAAAGCTTTTCATTTTGTGAGGAAAATCGAAGAGAAAAATCTTTACGCTGAGTGGTCCTCCATACTCAGATATCTTGGATGGAATAGTGTGCGTGTTCAACCCGGACCGTTTAACGTTCACAATTGGTCAGCAATAGAAAACAGTTTAGAAAACATGGGAGGCCAGAACAAGAACCAGCTATCGGACATTCTGTGACATACGTTTTCGTTGTCCAGCAAATGCTGTCCCACGCTCATTACGTCTGTGCTCTCATCTTTGACTCCGAAATTGGAGCTAAGCTATACTCATACTAGATTGAGACGCAATCCTGTTGAACTACAGCCAGACATTTGTTACCAGTGTGCATTTGAGAGTGGGCGAAGTTATTGAACACATAGTTGACAATATAAGCCACGCAATAATATGTGATGTGCTTACTCTGATGATATTTCACAAAACTTTTTAGCTACTGTTTATTATGAAGTTCCGATAAATATATTGCGGATTTTATGTTTGTTTGGTAGAGACATTTTTTGGACGTGTACTTTGAATTGCTACGCTCTAATTTGCTTATCTCGTTGTAGTTACAAATTTCGTACCTATTCACCATTCTTTACTTCATCAGTCAACTTAACGGCAAAGCTGGATGCAGATAAAATTAAGATTGGTTGGAGTATACCGAGTGAAGACTTTATTCTGTACAACTACACGATTCATGAAGTACCGAGTGAAACCATTCGCGATGGTTCGGCTTTTATGGAAACCAATCCGGTTGAACAATCGAAAATGGAGTACCTGGAAAGAACTGTGCCAAAATGCGGACGGTATCAAATCGGTTTGACAAAGGGAAAGAATAATTCAGTGTCCACCGAAACCTCGGAAGGTATGTATGCACACGATCAGTACATGTGGCTCCTGCCATTTTAAAATGTTTATTGATTTTGCGAATCAGAGGCAAGAATAATTGATCGGTCTCTATAACCCACGTATGGGAATAGATTTATCAACACCGAAATATTCTTGTGCAAATGATTCCAATGGTCACCAAATTCATCGTGACACTTCAGTTTTTTACATCCAATTTTGATCAGGAGAACATTAAAAGAAACAATGACAATACGACAAATAAGTGGGTATTTTTAATAATTAAATAAAATTAAATGTCCAAATTAGTTCCGGTAAAAATATAGGGACCATGCCCACCAATAACGATTTCTAGACCGCCTCATCTTGCGCTTTTTTGAATACCGCTGGCCTATGTTTCGCAAAGAGCCGGGTTAATTTGGACCCGCTGTATTGTCGAGGCGGCCTTTGATTCAGAACAAGAACTGATGATATTACTATTGTGATATGCTCCCCTGAGTTACTGTCACAAAAATGTTCGCGTCCCTTTTGAACAAATCCGTTTACACATGTTCAATGCCGGATTTCTGGAGACCGTTCATCACTGTTCCCAGTCCTGAATCATCCTCATCTGCCATTCTATTTACACGAGTTCGTTCCATCGTCGTCACTCGTACAGCGCACTGTTCCCAAAAGCTTGCAGTCTGGTTCGAATGTTCCCAATGACTCCATTTAGTTGGTGTATAAGCCAAATAGATGTACTTCGGATGCTGTCTCGTCACTGATGCGCTTTATCTGAACATCATTAGGTGATTCTCACAAATCTAACCGTTGTTTTTTATTATTCTTCCACTTGATTTCGTTCCACGATTTCTTCTTTTCC